TCTATTCTATTCTATTCTATTCTATTCTATTCTATTCTATTCTATTCCATTCCATTCCATTCCATTCCATTCCACTCCACCCCACTCTATTCTATTCCTAGTACTAAGACTAAATCCTTCATATTTATGACAGTTGGGGTGCTCCAAGGTCTTATTAGCCCCCTTTGCAACCTTCTTACATCCAAAGTCAATGGGAAAGCCAGATTCACTTAACAACCATGTTACTAACTTAACAACTACAGTGATTCACTTGAACTGTGACAAGAAAGTTTGTAAAATGGGTCAAAACTTACACTTAACAGCTGCCTTGCTTAGCAACAAAAGTTTTGGGCTCCGTTGCTGTTGTAACTTGAGGATCACCTGCAGATTTCTCTGTTTTGGGCTGTGGTCTCCTTAGTAGTTAAAAACTGGGAAAAGGGCACTGGCGTTCCTTTAACCCACCCAACTCTACGTGAGTCGGGGGCATTTCCACTCTCTCAGACTGACCCTATTTTGCAGCACTTGTTTTTGAGGAAAAGCGTAATATAAATCTGACAAAAGATTTTCAATTCTAATTTGCCTGTGAGGAACCTGAGCCTGCAGCCCACAAATCCAACCCTGGAATGGACCTTCTATAGCAAGGGGTCACCAACCTTTTGGACCTCAGGGACCCCCTGAGGCGCAGCCTTGTGTTCCCGCACAGCCTGGATTAATTGCTTTGGGGGCGGGGCGGGGGTGTGTGACATTTCTCTGCGGACCACCAAAATTTTGATCGCAGGCCACTAGTGGTCCCCGGCCCACCGGTTGGCAACCACTCTTCTATAGCAACTTCAATTGCAATCCTGTAATCCTGACTGCTGACGTGAGGTAGATCTTAAGGGGATCGAAGCTAAAACATACGAAGAGCGGTTGTAGGAACTGGGTAATTGTCCAAGTCTAGTGTAAAAAAAAAAAAAAAGGAACAGGGGAGACATGATAGCAGTCTTCCAATATTTGAGGGTCTGCTGTAAAGAATATTTTTCAAAGCACCAGAAGGCAAGAAGGAAGAGATGGAAACTAATTAAAGAGAGAATCAATCTAGAAATAAGGAGGAATTTCCTGAGAACAATGAATCGGTGGGACACCTTGTCTCCAGAAGTTGTGGCTGCTCCTTCACTGGAGGCTTTTAAGGAGAGACTGCAACAGCCACTTGTCTGAAATGGCATAGGGTCTCCTGGTTGAGCAGCGGGTTGGACTAAATGACCTCCAAGGACCCTTCCAACTCTCTTCCTCTCTTCTTCCGTTATTCTGCTCGGAGAATGATTATTTGCTTGATGCTCCTGGACCTGCATCTTAATATCTTCAGGGAAGATATTAAATTGCTTATTGCTGTTGTTGCTTGCCACAGGAAAAATACTGCCTTAATTTTAGAGTTTTATAACTATGTAAAAATGTGCCCAGCTTTTTATGGGGTTTGATATTCTGTTCTCCGATACCATTGTTGACATATATATAAAGTTATAACTGCCACCGACAAATCATCCTGTTCATAAAGTCCACAGAAACGGACATCACTTTTATGAGTAATGAAGCAACAACGAAGAAGTCTCTCTAGCTAGTCCTTATCTTACAACCATTTGTTTAGTGACCGACCACCTGAGGTTACAACAGCATTGATCAAAGTGACGTATGACTCATTTTTGGACTCATTTCTGCACTTGCAACCACGACAACATTCTCAGGAGTGACATCCTCAAAACGTGGGGCCTTTGCAATGGGCAAGTGCCCCCTGGCGACCTTCCCACCTGGCTTCCAACAAGGAAAATCGAAGGAGAAGCCAAATTCGCTTAACAACTGCATGATCCTCAGCCGCAATTTGCTGAAAAATGTGGCAGAAAAGCCATGAAATCAGGGGCAACTCACTTCATGCCTTGCTTACGCAACTGAAATCCCTGGGTCGGTTGTGGCTGTAAGCTCCCCAAACCCCCCAAACCCACAGACGTGAACTCCAAAGATTCCTTTAGTAGGAATGCCGGCAGTCCCGGCAAAAGGTTTATCTCGCAGGCTAATAAATCTGTCCGGCCAGAAGATGAATAGTTGTCTTCCACATCTATTCATCTCCGCCTCCCGCCTTTTATCCCCAGAGCTAGGGTGGGCCTTCTCTAGCAGCGATAGCTCTTCCGCCCCAAGGACCGGCCCATAGATTTCCACTGCTCTCCTCTCCTCTCCTCTCCTCTCCTCTGCCTTCTGTGTGTCAGGCACTGGAGCCAGCTGTTCCTCCTCTTCCTCATCAGCCACCTCCAGACATGGCTCTTCCATCCCAAGGACCGGCCCATAGATTTCCACTGCTCTCCCCTCCTCTGCCTTCTGCTCATCCGCGCGTCAGGCACTGGACCCAGCTGTTCCTCCTCTTCCTCATCAGCTACCTCCAGACCTGGGGGCTGTTGACTCTCCATCTGAGGGCTGATAGGGCTCCATCTCAATCCCTCTCTCTCTCTCTCTCCCTCCTTCTCTTTCTCCTCCTTCTCCTTCTCTTTCCCTCTCCTCTTTCTCCTCCTTCTTCCTTTTCCCTCTCCCTCCCCCCCTCTCCTCTATTCCCTCTCTCCCCCTCAGAGCTCCCAGGTGGTCCTGATCCTGACCCTGACTCCCACACCACCTCCTCCTCCTCTGATTTGGCTGCTGGAGAGGCTGGCGGCAGACAGGCCACCACAGGACTACCTGTGTGTGCATGGGCAAACACACACACACACACACACACACACACAGAGCCCATGTTAAATTCTTCAGTGGCTGCTCACTCGGTGCAGGCCTACAAATGCTCAGATCGTTATTGTACAGGCAGTCCTCGACTTACAACAGTTCATTTAGTGACCAAAGTTAGAGGGGCCCTGAAAAAAAAGGGACTTAGGACTGTTTTTCGTACTCACGACCACTGCAGCCTCGCCTGGGTCACGGGATCAAAATTCAGATGCTTGGCAACTGGTTCATATTTATGACGGTTGCAGTGTCCTGGGGTCACGTGATCCCTTTTTGAGACCTTCTGACAAACAAAGTCCCTGGGGAAGCCAGGTTCACTTAATAACATCGCTAACGTAACAACTGCAATGATCAATGTAACAACTGTGGCAAACGAGGTTGTAGAAGGGGGGCAAAATTCGCCTAACAAAGGTTTCACTTGGCAACATCAATTTTGGGCTCAATTGTGGTCGTAAGTCGAGGACTTACCTGTATTCCTAGTCTTCCCCAATGAAACCAGCCACTCCCATCTTTTCCCCAAAATTGATGTTACACAGAAGACAGTGGTTGGCTGTTTATAGTGGCGGGATTCCATTTTTGTTTACTATCGGTTCTATGGGCGTGGCTGGGGGGGGGGAGTGAAAGGGGAAGGTAATTGCAAAATCCCCCTTTCCTCCCCACCCCGCTAACCTGCTTTCCAGCTCCGTTCTCCTGTGCAGGGCAACCAAAGAA